AAGTAAAGGTGGGAGTGAAAGATCGGAGGGGATAGTAGAAGAAAAGGCGACTAGGCTGAATCATCCTGGCCGGGCCTTACCAGGACTCCCGTCTACGAGAAGCAGGGGCCGAAGTGGTGTATTGCCTCACCCAGGGGGCCCCGAAGGATCCAAACCTACCCCGCGCTCGGCTCAACCACCAGGATGCCCTTTTCCCCGCACACGGGAAAGCCACGCACAGCCATACGTGGGCGGGCGAACCCGCATGGCTCGGGGTCCGTGGAGACGCCTCTCCAAACACCTGCTTTCACAGGTGCCCCCTGCGGGGACACCAGAAAGGCTGATGACTGGAGTTCTTAGATTTATGTCTGCTGGGAGAAGACGGCTTGTTGCTTTGCTACATCCCAATGATTGACGAAGAGAAGGGGAACGACTCTCCCTTAAGGACTATTTCCTAAGAAGCTACGTAGAGTTTATTGGGTACCTTCGCGACTCGGCTCCAGATGGTCATGGCAGCAGCAGCAAGACTTCAAAAGCCATGTTGCCGCACGACCTGGCCAGTAATTAGGCAGGACGTATTTTGGTATGCTCGTAGCTGCCCAGTGGACAACCTCTGGGTCTGATGCAGTCGGTGGGGTTAGCACCCGGGGCATAGACGTTTGTGAAAACGTAGGCCCATTGCCAATGGGTCCCCATAGAAACTAGTATCTGCTGTTAATCACTGAACATTTCTTTAATAGGTGAAGATGTACCTTTTGAAGAAACTGGTTTCGGAGCGCGTCTGGAAGTTACATAAATTCCTGCACCTCGGCATGCCACGTCTCGTTAGCAATGCTACTTACTTCACCAGCAAGGTTTGTAGACTTCTGCTTGGTGCTTACTATAATGCACAGGTGGACACCATATTCTCAGCTTAAAATCACCGAGTGAATCGAAACCTGAAAAGAATGTTGACTGCACTAACAAAGAGACAGAGTGGCTGGGACAATCACATCGCCGAGATGAGCTTTGTCATTCGGATGACTGAACGGAGCAACTGGATTTATGCCAGAGTTTTCGAATGAGGGTAAAGAGCTACCGTCTCCACTGAGGAATGGGCTACGAAGCCTAAGCAGATAATATGGACTTTTCCCAAATGTGTGGCGGAGCTCTAGAATTGCCTTTTGGGTGCCATTGCACAATACTAGTAAAGAACTTCGATGCCGCAAGGATGGAGCAGGCAGCCGTCACCCGGAATGCGTTGGAAACTTAGTCCTACGAAGAACTCACTTGCTGAGTAACACAGCTAGTGGGTTTGCATAATCGCTGGCCCTGAAGTGGGGAGGGCCTTACCAGGAAGTCGCTAGTAACGCACCTTAGACTTGCTTGGCCGGACACAACAGCGATTTTGGCGCTTTTCACACTGCCGACATGAAGAGCTACTACCTTTGCGACCAATACAACAGTGAACCAGGGATTGCAGGAAAACAGGGTACATCCCAGTTCAGGTGACCCATACGTGCAATCTGGAGCACCGACTTGGCATGGCGGCCGGATGGTCAACGACACCAGTGAGCAAACTTCGGAGGATAACTGCAACCTTCGTTACAACCCTTGGTCTAGAGTGTAATGTCTCTCAGTGTTTAAATTCTTTTTATCCAAAACGCCTGCTTCAGAATATTGGCTAGGAGTGATGCTGGTCGTGGACGGCTCCACTTAGCAGGCCCGGTTCGCCCAAATGCGGTCACAATTGCTCTTCCAGTCACCCCGGGCACTTGCCCAAAGCCCTCGCATCCTGTGCCATGAGGTGGTCGTCCCTGGAGCTGACCGCACCTTGGGTTGGCACCGCCTCAGACACCCCAGAGCCTATGCAAATTGCTCTATCCCAAATCAGAGCCACTCACCACACCCTTGGTGACAGCAGATGCCTCGCTGTGCTTCCCAAGAACGTCAGCCCTTCCTTCCAGCAAGGAAGCAGCTGGGCCGCTTCTGCGAGGGGGCTGTACTGTCCCTTTCACACCTGCTGCCCTGGCACGTCCCATCTGCCAACTGCGGTTGTCGCCCCGGATCCCCAAGTTGGTAACCATTTCCCACCTGTGCCTGCCTTCCTTTCGGCTGTAGTGTCTCCGCTGTCTCTTTAGACTAGAACCAGCTAAAATGTAGTGATGGCCAAGCTGGAGTTGTTCCTCTCAGGAAATCCGGCTGCCCCCACCATCTCAAGACCCCGTCCGAGCCTCGAGGGCAGGTAAGCGTGGAGAACCTTTGGCTTTGCCTCCACGTGCCCGGTGCCGAAGCCCACAATCCCCACCGGTGTGAACGCTTGTCAACTCGTCTCCAGTGCCAAAGCCTCATTCCCTGACAGTTTGGAACCCTTTGATCCCCATCACATAAGCAGCGCCAAGGATGGCATTCACCACTGCCTGCCGGCAAACATTCGTTGAGGTTTACGTTCAGTACAAAGCCGGGATTTCTCAGACCGGTACCGCAGTGCTCACCCGTGGCCTTATTTGGACACTAGATTCTCGGTGGGAGGGAGAGGGGTCGGGAAGGCTATATAAGATCTCATTGTGCAATACGCCAAAAAACAGACGAAAACGGAGAACTGGACATGGAGGCAGCATAACTTTAAACTGAATGGCTTATTTGGACGAAATACTTTTTAAAAATATAAAAACCAGCACACCTGGCAGCACACAAATATATGGTCTAAAAACACTTCTTTCAAATACCAGCATTATTGGTTCTTTAGATAGAATTTTTTATCGGAAAAAGACAGGGTAATAATACTGCGCTCTTGCCTTTTCTGACCTTTTTCGCTAAGGTTTCAGAAACATTTAGAAAAACATATAGTGTACCCTGCCGCTTTAAGTCTGCTAAGCTGAGAATTAAAACTGTTTTTCATTCAACGTGGGCAGGATTTTTTTAGCGCCGCCCTCAAGCAAGATGAGGCAATGTCCTGAACGGCAACATTCCTTTATTGTAACAAGGATCATATGCCCCGCAGGCATGCTCCGCAACAAAATACAAGCCCAGATCCGTAAACTGCAATCGACCACGAACCAATGGCTCATGTGTGAATTTTAAGCCGAAAGCACAAATTGCAACAGAAGGAACATGCAAAAGTTTTTTACGTACAAGAGTATTCGGTGTGCGTGTCCCGTCGTCATTGCAGACGATCACGTGATCGCGGGGTTTTAAGAACAATTCATGAGCTATGCTTTTGGCTTAAAGTTCACACGAGCTTGGCTCATGGTCCGCTGCAGTTTATGGATGAGCATGCTTTGGCATGTTCATTCATATGAGCATGCTTTGGCGATCAGGCAGTCCCCGTCTGGCCACCTAGCGGTTCACTATGACCATTGCTAATGCGGGAAGTGCAGCCCCATTTTTGGCAAGACCCGTGTTATGGGCCATTACAAAACAAAAACGGCCAGAAAAATTCATGGAACCTTTATGATCAGGTCCCACCTAAACCCCTGCGTAAGTGCACTCTCTTGGTAGGCATAACAAATGCCGAGACATTAGAAGGAAAAAGGACACGAACAAGGCGAACAACACATGTTCGCGACGTTTGGTGTTCTCTTTTAGAGCGCAGGTCTTAGACGCCAGTTTCCGGAAGCAGTGGCGTCGGCCTCAGGGCAACCGCGTGCATTGCATTACGGGATGTTGACGTTCCTTGCTAAATTAGCGGGCACACTTCCCCGCTAACTTTAGCGGAAAAATTTCCTACTAAATTTAAGAGAAAAAAATTCCCAACTTTAGCGGGATAATTTTCCCATTGAATTTGGGTTAAGTTTCCCTGCTAAATTTAGTGGGAAAATTGACGTCATGCGACCTCAACACCAATTCAGTTTCCCCGCTAAATTTAGCAGGGAGAATAAAGTCTAGACTTTGTCATGTCACACATGAACAAAGTCAGCGACTGGAGAGGAGGGTAAGGAGCAGGGACAAGCCCTCCTCTCCTCAAGAGCTGCGCTTTAGATTCACATTACAGGCTTGTAAAGCTCTCATTTTTTCATGTCCTTTTTTCGTCTTCCAGTGTCTCAGGTTTTGTTGTCCGCAATTCACCAGCTTGCCTGTACTTTCTCTTCCGTCAGTTACCGTCCTTGTCCGATGAAAAATTCTATCAGAACCAATGACGCTGGTATTTGAGGGGTGTTTTGGACTATATCTTGTTCTGCCAAGTGTCAGTTTTTATCATTTTAAAAGTATTTCATTCAAATAAACCATTCAGTCGAAAGTTACGAGGCGTCCTGTCCAGTTCTTTTCATTTTTGTCAGTGTTTTTTGGCGTATTACACCATGATGCAAAACATCACTAGCCCGACTAGCCATCCTCATAAGTAGATAGCAGGCAGGGGTCTGGTGGGTCTTCACTTGAATCTTCAAATGAGTTTTCTTTTGGAAGTCATTGGAGTCTTGATTTGAGTCTGGTGTTAGGAGTCCGAGTCACCATAAGGTCTTCATCGGAAGGCTTCGTCGGAGGCCTTGAGAGAGTCCTGATTCAGTCTTTAGCTGAGGGTCTTGATTCATAGAGTTGTTCAGCTGCAACCACCACCGGAGACCGGGCTTAGGGCAATAGAATGTGAGTAAACCACTTGATTGCTCTTGTTGCGTTGCGACTCCCTTGGGAACGATTAAAGTGCAGCTAGATCGAATTGGGCACAATGTGGAACGATCTGACAAAGGCTAACGGCCAATATTTGAAGGCTGGGAACTAAAACACCAACTTCGAAGCAGTTTTTCATATTTGAAACATAATGCCCTTGCCAAGTCAGATCACAAGCTATTACATTGGAAACTGATTATCTCATCCAACCACTGATGAGTGCATCACAAGTCAGTATTGTCTTGCTTTACTCATATCCAACTGACACAAAATATTTTCTGGCACTGCTTTTATGTACCGTCATAGATTCCCTGCCACATGATGTTCAACCCTAACTATAGTGCGCCAATGTAAAAAGCTTTAATAAGCACTTACCTGAACTTACCTGTACTTCCGTGTTACTTACATTTTTCCAGTGCACAAAGAAACAGCAATGCTGGTACACAAGAATCCTTTATACAAAGTGGAAATTTCAGATGAAGGGTTGAACATAAGAATCCAGGAAATTAATCTCCCCAAATAAAGCCATCATGCAGTTTCTCAAGCTGCAATGTCAACTCAAGCTTTTCCAGAACACAACCTCCCGATGAACTACTGAATGCAATATCACCACATGACAAAAGACTGTTACTGATGTCATCTGGTACCAGATACACCGTTACAGACTCTGAATTGCCAATACTGCAGATGCTGGTGCTTTCACTTGTTTGTACCTCCTTCATAGGTTTCGTGTCCACCCCTCTTACAATGCTGTCAATAGCATTGCTGATGTCTTTCTGAGGTTCCATTTTAGTGTTTTTTTCAGCTACCAAGTTCGTCCTTGTTGTGTTGTTCTTAGTGCCGAGCAGAATGCAGGGTTGTTTAAGCATCCCATAGGCTACCTTCCTTGTAGCCTTTTTATTAACTAGTTCAGGCTGAACTCGAGAGGAAGCCCCAATGGTGCTTAAAGAACTTGCTTCACTCATCACATTATTTAATGAACCAATCACTCCCTTTTTTCTGAGCTCTTCAGTCTTTAGACCATCAGTTGCCTTTGACTCCAACACTATTCGTGGGTTAGCAGCTTCATCATTGCTAACGAACTTCCCCTTCAGAACCTTTCCATGTACTTTCATAGGTTCTGGAGTACACTGGTCGGAAGGCATTACAATTGCTGCCTTGTCTGTTTTCTCCTTATGTACAACTTCAGTCTGGAGCTCAGTTGACGAAGCCCTGATAGAGTTCACAAAACTCTTTTCACTCATGACATTACTTAGTGAACTGATCACTTCCTTATTTACAAGCTTTTCACTTTTTTTGCCACCAGTAGTTGTTGGCATGGGCACTATTCGTAGCTTAAAAGCTTTGTCCTTGCTAGCAAACTTCCAATTCAGACCTCTTCCACCCACTTTCACAGGTTGCGGAGTACACCAGTCAGGAGGCAACCGAACTGCTGCCTTTTCTGTTCCTTGTTTATGTACAAGTTCAGACTGCAGCCCCGTTACTGAAGCCCTAGTAGGGTTCACAGAACTCTTTTCACTGATTACATTACCCAGTGGACTGGTCACTCTCTCATTTACAAGCTTTGGAGTACTCCCACTAGCTCCCAAGGAGTTTGGCTTAGCAGCTTTCTGATTGATGGTGCACTTTCTATCTAGAGTATTTCCACTCTGCCTTTTCACAGGTTGCGGTGTCAACCAGTCGGGAGGCAACCGAGGATGGCGGACTCTTGAATAATCTTTGAAGCCCGCACCTTTAACACTCCACACAAGTCCCCCACTCCTAAGCCTTTCACCCCGAAAACATGAGCCATTTCTACCGTGACTAGGTGGCTCACTGGCCTGCTTTGCTTTGCACTCAGAGTTTATGGTCTCTACTTTCCCTGCCATTGGTGCACAGCATTCTGTACTTTTCTTTAGTACATTCAAACCAGACGAGGACATATTCTGTGCATGTGGAGTCCTAAACGACACTTTCTCAAGAATATGCCTTGCACTGTTCGCAGAATCCGATGCTCTTTCCTTCACATGACAGCTACAGTGTCTTGAAGATGTCTCATCATTGGAGATCTCACGTTTAGGACTGGAGACCGGTGAAATGTCCATCGGCACGACATCATGGCACTCTTCAACTTCTGGGTCTTTCCATTTAGAAACCGGTGAAATTTCCATCGGCATGGCATGGTGAGACACTGCAACTTTCGAGTTTTTCCATGAAGAGCCACATGAAGGTGTCATTCCATGAAATTCCTTCACTTCTGTACTGTAGGGTTCAGTAGCTTGGAGTCCTGATTCTTGAACCTTGCATGACACAGATGAATGGAAGCCACTCCATTCGCGAGATGAACTAACTTTGGTGCTTTTGCAGGGGATGGGCATTTTGGTAGCACTTCTGCAGCCAGTAATACCAGAGGCACATGGCTGTTGCTCTTGCAGAGGGTAGTAATAGAAGCTTGACACTCCAGAGCCTTGGAAGGTTCGTTTCTCGTACCAGGCATAGGTGTGATCCACTGGGTACCCATAAGGAACCCACCCTTGATTTGAATATGGGCCTTGCATTTCTCACATGGTCAGCAAAACCCTGCAAAATAGAAACAAGCCTTATGCCCTTGTGGTCATTTCTAAGGTGAAATACAAACTCGAGACTCCAAATGAACAAGTGTGGGGCCTGAATCAATACTTACACAAAAAAAATTTTCCAATGCACAAGTACACATGTAGAATAAACCCTTCTTTGATAGCTTCTGTCCAGTGTGCATTTTTGACACTAAAAGGAACCCTCACAATTAGTTATCGACATGTTTATAGCTGGTACTAGGTGTAGACTAAAAAAATGATTATAAATGAAGCAGCTTCCTAAAGTATGCAGTAACTCAGATGGGCCTCAGATAAGTATATTCCAATATCTTTGGGGCAGCTTAAGAAACAGAAGATAGAACACTCAGTTTGCTGCACTTCATATTGACAACTAAATACATCTGCATATTTTGCATCGATGTCTTGAAGATTCTTGTGTCTACAGCATAGTATATAAGGCATCATGTGGTGTTTGAAGTGCTATTCAAATCCATGCCATGCCTGCACAAGATCTAAGCATTTGACTCTTTCTGGCTCAACGATTTGGGGGAAAAAAACAAATTTCCTCATTAAACATTATGTTAGTGTCATAATCGAACCAGACGCCATGCAAGTCCCAGTGCAAGTGCGTGCAGCCCGCGCCGCAGCACGTTTACTTCTTCCTTCACAACACTTCTTCCCCCCTCACGAGTAGTGAAATATATAATAGTAGAAAAATTTTGCAGAAAACATGCACGGCAAAATGTTTGTTAGAACACAACAAAAAAAAAATATGCGAAAATGATGCACAGCCAAATGTTCATCCACTGTTTAGGGCGAAAACCGCACCACGGGCTCCCGCGCTCGTGTACCTCGACGAACTGGGGTCTGCTGATGTATCACCGTAGTCGAGGCTGTGGTGTCAGCAGCGTCCGGATTGACTGCGAGGTCAGTAGTACCACTGGACTGGGCGGGTTGGTGCATATCATCCCCAGAATTCACAGCTGAATTTGTGCCCACATCCGGGAGATTTCCGTCGTCGAGGGTATGGAGTCAGCAGCGTTTGTGCCTACAGGAGGCAGGTCGACACTTGGTGTGCATGGACGAGCTGATGATGGGAGTTCCGCGCTACCAGAAAAACTGGGGCATCTCGGTGCCACGCGGATGTGATCGTGGTGCCTTGTCCACACCCTGCCATCTGGCAGTTTCACCGTCGATGCAAATCCCTGGTCAGACTCTACAGTAGCCGGCACCCACCTAGGTCCGGGTCGGAAATCCGAGCAAAGACTGGTGTTCTGGGCGGAATATCCGTAACCCTAGTGTACGGTCCATTTTTGCGCACGTCCTGCTGGAGCTGTTTTAGGTTCACTGTGGTCCGAAGATCGGGTCTCAGCAAGCCCAGCGCAGTCTTGAGCTTCCGACCCATCAAAAGTTCAGGACTGCAGCCCGTCACTTCATGCGGCGTCGTCCTGTATGACAGCAGCAGTCTGGCTATTTGCGTATGAAGGTCCCCCGATCCCGCCTTCTTCAACTTCTGCTTAATCGTCTGCACAGCTCGCTCGGCTGCTCCATTGAACGCGGGGTGGTATGGGGGCACCAGCACTTGTCTTACGCCATTCTTCCGTAAGAATGTCTTGAATTCTTCGCTCACGAATGCCGGACCATTGTCTGATACAACTACATCCGGCAGCCCCTGAATAGCAAACATCTTCCGCAGACAATGAACTGTCACAGACGTCGAGCATGTGCTTACTGGAAGTACCTCGATCCATTTGGAATAAGCGTCGACGGCAATGAACAGGTAGGTGTTTCTCAGGGGTCCAGCAAAGTCTACATGCAGTCGAGACCACGGCCTTTCCGGAAATGGCCATGGCCTCACTGGTACCGATCTTGGCGCTTGCTGATGCTCTTGACAGGTACGGCATGCCTCCACTGCTGCCGTGATGTCCTCATCCAGAGCTGGCCACCATACATGGCTCCGGGTCACTGCTTTCATCTTGGAGACTCCTGGATGACTTTCATGTAGCAACTGGAGCACATCTGCCTGTAAAGACGTGGGGACTACCACTCGGCTTCCAAGTAAAATGCAATCACTCTGAACGCTCATCTCTTGAAACCGTGCTTCGTATGGCTTCCACGGATGTCCACAGGGCGGCCTTTGACCAGTCCACAGTGCTGCTCGCAGTTGTGACAAGCACGGATCTCTACTCGTAGCTGCTGCAACCGTTTGGGCTGACAATACTCTTGGGTAGCATCCTTGGAGCATAAACACCTCTGGGGGGCACTCGACCTGAAACTCGGTTGTAGGTAAGGGCAGCCGACTCAGTCCGTCTGCGTGAGGAATCTGTCCGCCAGGCCTGTACTTCAAAGTGTAATCATACACCGACAAGAACAATGCCCAGCGTAAGATACGTGGCGAACATGACTCGGGAATGAGCTTGTCAGCTGCCAACAGCCCAAGGAGTGGTTTATGGTCAGTGGCCGCCTCAAACGAACGCCCCCAAAGGTACTGCTTGAAACGCGTCACTCCGAACACCATAGCAAGCGCCTCCTTATCAAGCTGGCTGTAGTTTCGCTCGGCAGCAACCAGGCTCCGCGACGCAAATGCGATAGGTCGCTCTTCTCCCGACGCCTCCCTCAGTGCAAGAACCGCACCAAGACCGTACGGAGATGCGTCCGTGACCAGCACAGTTCTCTTCTTTGGGTCGAAATGGGCCAACGTTTCTGCTGATGCCAGTAAGGACTTACTCTGGAAGAAAGCCTCCTCTTGAGATGACGTCCAAGTCCATGGTACGTCCGGAACCAGCAGACGATTCAGCGGGTGCAGTACTGCAGAAAGTCGGGGAATGAACTTGCGATAAAAGTTAATAAGGCCCAGGTAGCTTTGGAGGCTTTTGACGTCCTGCGGTCTCGGAGCCAAGAGGACAGCCTCGACATTCTTGGGGCTGGGGTGCAACCCACTGCGCGTAATGATATGCCCTAAATACTCCACACGCTCCTTCATGAACTCGCACTTAGCTAGCTTCAAGCGAAGGCCTGCCTCCTGAAGGCGCCCGAGGACCCGGCACACATTCTTCCAGTGATCTACGTCACTTGCGCCGGTCACAAGAATGTCATCGAAATAGACCGCAACATGCAGCAATCACCCAGGAGATTGTCCATTTCTCGCTGGAACAAGGCAGGGGCGGCCACCACGCCAAACAGAAGCCTTGTAAACGTGAACAGGCCTTTCAGAGTGTTGATCGTGACCAATTCTTGTGACTGTGCATCCAGCTGGACTTGTTGATACGCATCCTTTAGGTCGAGCTTGGTGAACTTCACCCCGTTGGTCAGTTTCGCGAACAGCTCTTCCAATCCTAGGAATTGGATAGCTTTCGCTGACCGTCGCTGGATTGATGGTGATCTTGAAGTCGCCACAAAGGCGTACGCAGCCATCTTGCTTGACAACAGGAATTACGGGTGCAGCCCACTGCGACGTCTTGACAGAGCGTATGATGCCTTCGCGCTGCATACGCTGAAGTTCCTCTACTACTCTGTCTCGGAGTGCGAATGGCACTGGTCGTGCTTTAAAAAATTTCGGTCTTGACCCTTCCTTCAGGATGATCTTTGCTGACACACCCTGCATTGTCCCAAGCGTGTCTGAAAAAACTTCGCTGAATTGTTCGACTAGGCTTGTGACGGAACGGACCGCATTCACTCCCTCAGGCTTTGAAATAGTAATCTTGAATGCTTCCATCCAGTCTCTGCCCAGCAATGTCGGACATGTCCCCTTCACCACAAACAAGGGCAGTGTCGACTCAAGTGTTCCCACCTTGGCTGCTGCAGTAATCTTCCCCAGAACCGATGAGAGCTCTCCCGAATAGCTCTTCAGTCTCACTTCGGAGTGTTCTAACGGCGTTCCACGAAACAGTGCATTGAACTTTTGCTCACCGATGATGGAAACGCTGGCGCCGGTGTCCAGCTCCATGACTAGTGGCAAGTCTTTCACGATGGCTTTAATCTGCATGGGCCCGAGTCCCGTTGATCGCAACGACCACATGGCGCACTCGTCTACCTCGGGTTGTGTTTCCTGGAGGTCGTCCATTTGGTGCACAGAGCAAGAGTCCATTCGATTCTTTGAGCCAGTCGGTGCCGCCCTGCAGGCCCTTGCAATGTGCCCCTGACGTCCACACTTGAAACAGGTGCTCGCCCGGTGGCGACACCGGGACGTTTGATGTTTATCTCCACACCGATCACAGCCACGCTCGACTGCGTTAGCCGCATTCCGTCTGGGAGGTTCCACAAAGTTGGTGGGCTCCACTGCGGCCGCTGACTCAGGCTGAGGGCAGAGGGTGTGGGCATCTTTCCTTGCGGCTTCCATTGCAATGACCAGTTGCTTTGCAGACTCATGGTTCAGGTCTGACGATTCCAATAACCGTGTCTGCATTCCCGTGTCGTTGATACCGGACACTATCTGATCCCTCATCATGCGGTTGCACATGGTGCCGAAGTTGCAGTCATCTACCAACTTGTTTAGCGCCGCTACATAGTCACTGACAGCCTCACCTTCGTGCCGTCGCCTTGAGAAGAATTTGAAGCTTGCAACAACTTCCGATACCCTGGGCTTGAAATGGGCATTGAGAGCTGCGAAGATTTCGGTGAGCGTCGCCTCCCCTGGTTTCGTTGGCGAGAGAAGACTTCGTAACGGTGAGTATGTTGCTGTCCCGCAGCTTGTCAGAAATACGGCCGATTTCTTTTCCTCGGCAACATCGTTGGCCAGGAAGTACAGGAGAACACGCTCCTGGTATTCCACAAACTCAGTTGTACTTGCATCAAACGCTTCCAGCTTGCCGACGGCCGGCATCTTGTCACGTACCTCTCCTCGATATCTTCGTCACGGCACTGCGTCAATATATTAAGGTTTATCTCTCGTCGCCAGTTGTCATAATCGAACCAGACGCCATGCAAGTCCCAGTGCAAGTGCGTGCAGCCCGCGCCGCAGCACGTTTACTTCTTCCTTCACAACAGTTAGCAAGTGTCATGCAC